CGTACTTTAATAAATATATTAATAAATATTTTTTAATTAAACTTAAAAAATTTAAGTTTTATATTGAGCCAAAAAGCATTCGGAGACTTTTGGCGGGGGTCTGTAGAACACAAATCTTATTTTTTAATTAATAACATATAACAATAGTATTGTATATATTTATTAGTATCATATTATTTATTAATTTATTATTATTAATATATTATTTATTAATAGCATACAATAGAACAAATTAATAATGCATGTAATATAATATATTAATATATTTGCTATTTATTAAATAAAAAGTTAATATATTATATATTACATAATTTACATATTTAAAAATTGATTAAACATCGTGCTTCCTATATAAATAATATGTATCTGATTTATCAAAAAATTATAAACACTTTAGGTTATATTAGGATGTCTAATGTTCTTTTTAATATTCATCCTAAATTTACCTAATACTTATCTGAAATATGCCAACCTGATAGTTTTATGAATAATTTCCAATCTGCATTAAGAACTGGTCAAAAATCAGGTAAACTGATCAGATTTCATTTATTTTGGATTTAATAATATACAATAGAACTATCAGATATATAAAACCTATCTAATAGCTTTTCATTTAACCAGTAAATATTATTAGACCTCTAAATCAGATTAAGTTAACTTGTTTACCTGATTTGATTTAACCTAAAAATTCAGAACAGATTAATAGATTTTTAGATTAATGTTAATTTCTATCTTTATATAATTTTAAGTATTTTTAAATTTAGTTTTATTTAATATAAAATTGCTTTATTATTTAAAATTTTCTTGCAATTAAATATTTATTTTCATATTATTTTACATGCAATATTTTATTATAAATAACTTTATTTTTAATATATTATTATCTTCAGGTTAACTTATTAACTGATCTAACTTAACCTAATAAAATTCAGGTTAGCTAATCATTCTTCTTAAATGATTTATTATCATTTTTTTTGAACAATTTAATTAAAATAATTTGTTATTATACTTCTTAATTAGAATAATTTTATTATTTTTCTTGAACGATTCATTATCATTCAATTAAAATAATATATTATCATTCTTCTTGAACAATTAATCAGTTAGATCAGGTCAAATGAAAATTAAATTCAGATTGAATTTTTGTTTAACCTGATCTGATCCTCTCAGTTCAAATAACTTGATTGATTTTACTTAAACTAACCTATTCATAGCTCTAAATATTATTATAAAACTTTCATTTTATAGCTTAAATATTAATCTTAATATTAATTTTTTAAAAAATATTTTTGTTATTAAGTAAATTAAATTATGTTTTGAATAAAATTTAGTTACTATATTAGAAAGTGATTGAATAATATATATTACAATTAATAGCTTAGTTGTCCTTTTTTTTTATTTCCGATTTTATTGATATTAGATTTAACATAAGATCATCTATTAGGGAAATATAGCGTAGTAAATTCTTTTTTTCTTAAAAGAGGACTTCAAAAAAAAAAATCAAAAATTTAATTTCCTAATTTGTAACTAAATAAACACGTGATTTTAAAATTATTTTTATTTTCGCCAATTATATAACCATTTTACCATTTTATTAAAAGAAATACATACGTTTTCCCCTGAGCTTCATATAAAAATCACATTGAGAACTATCTAATATCATATCAAAAAATTGCAATGTAGTGGAAAAATTACTCAAAGTCGATTAGTCAATATGAAGGACGAAATCCTTCCATTTCTCAAGATAATTGTGATGAACAAGAAGTATCGATGTATCTTACTTCTAGAACAATCGTAAGAACAATGTAACTCAATTCAAATAAGGAAAATCTTCTCATTCTCACCTTAATGATAACCAGAGAATATTTTAGGATGGAGCAGCCTTCAGATAATTTAGAAATGTCATAAATGTCGTGCAAATTTTTGGGGTATTAAAAAAAACCGGTAGGAAAATTTTTCACACTGTATATACTTTACTCACTATACGGAATTAGGCTTTTCAAAATTCTGTAAACATTCAGACGTGTCATATTGTTTAATAGGTTATATTACCTATGTAATACAAAAGTTAGTTTTGAGCTGAAATTTTCAATAATTTAATTCTTGTCAATCTTATAAAGCTTCTGGCGAAGCCAAAGATTTCGGGCGAAACATGAATATAATATTTAACCATAAGAATTAATAGTCAAAAATCGCAGAAATTTTAGGTAATCACAAAGTAGTTATCAACAGTAAATGAATGGATCGAATTATTTTATAAAAAAATTTAAAAACATTTATAAAAATTAATTATTTACTGTAACTATCTATTTACAAGATAAGCTACACGTTAAATTTTAGTATAAATTATTATGTAGGATTTTCAATCGTATGATAATATCACATAACTTAACTATTCATCGAATCAACAAATCCAATGAGATAAACTGAGGACGACATCATGAATTTAGCTTCTTTAGAAATTTGGTCTTATAAAAGATGGTCAAACAATACAGGATCTACTTTATATATAAATTGCAACTTGACATCAAATAATGATTATATTTAACATAGACGAATTCTCCAAGCGTTCGTAAGTTCGATAAATAAAAGAAAGCACAAATTTAACCATAAAATCGGTCATATAATGTTCAATTCGATTGCGAACTTAGAGTGGGTATATTAAAACTACCTACAATGATGCTTCACGATTTCTTTTATAATCATATGAAACAATAACATTTTATTGGTTTCTGTGTGCTACTTCATATGGTAATGTAGTGAAAATTTTTTTCTTGGTCAATGTAAAGGCATTCTTTTCACTTATTTTCGTAAAATCACGTGAACATTCTGGAGAAAAACACATTTTTTAAAATCCCAATTTATTGTTTGAAATTCACATTCACTCAATAAGAGGTGATGCTACTAACAACTGAGGGCAGTCCGAAAATCCATGACTCTGTTACGAAAGGTCTCAAACTGGTGGACCAAGATTAACAGATCTGACTCGTCAAATTCAATGTCGGTTTTTTCGCGCATTTCCTTCAAAAATAATTTTGAGCCTTTGACAATATTTTTAATTTGCTTATGCTCTTCAATAATTTCACCGAGTTTCCTTCCTCTACAAATATTATTTAATGCGTATCCGGCAGTTACCCCACCAACAGCAGCACCAACAGCTCTCTGAAATATAAAGTTATTTGTTAGTCATAAGTTTTCATTTGTCGTGACATCATGAAATAATAACCACATACCTTAAAAGCAGTGTTTGCTTTGGCTGCCGCTATAAACGAGGCAACGGAGACACTGAAGAAAAGTGATTTCATGAAATTCGTCAATTTTGCGAATTTATAAAATCCGAAAACTCGAATATCTTACACTGATGCGGCTACGGTTTTAATAATCTGATCTTCTTTCTCTTCGTTCAATACTTGCAATTGAACTTCCAAATGAGCATTTACTTGTTCCACAAATGGTTCAAAAACATTTTCAATGTAATTTTGCAAATATTCAACATTAGCTAGTTAAATACAGCAAAAGATCAATTTGCGTTTTAGCGAGTAAAAACCTTATGTAATTAAGAGAAACTCAAACCTTGAAAATTGTCAATTTGGTTGTAGTTTAAATTTAGGAGAATTTTATTCAAAATTATATGTAAACGTTCAAATTTTTCCGAGAATTGATTTTTTTGAACGTCAGTCAAACAATTAAGTTCGTCTTTTTTATAAGCTTCTTCCAAAAGGTACAAAGTGCAAGTAAAAGCTAAAAGTGATAGTGCGATTGGCCAACACACGGAACTCTTTACAAAGAGAAATTGGAAATTAGTTGAGAAAAGATAATGGTAATGATTTAAGGAAATTTAGGTGTCTTCGGTTGCGGATCGTGAAGATTTATTGCAAATAAACCTCGTTTCAACATACCGCACTCGTCAAGTTCAAATTCGCTTTGTATTTGAGCAATAGATTGAAGGTTTCTACAAGTCGGAGGATCCAATTTAGATTTGATATTGCTTCCCTGGCTCGAAACATAAGCACAGGAGTCCCGTCTCGTAGATCAAATTTTCGACAAACCATTCCAAAAATTTTTCCCAATGTGTCAAGGACCGATTTGGATATTTGTTTCACATTTATTGCCAAGGCTTTCAAGGCATCATTTAGAGATGTAATTGAAATGATCGCCGCTGTAGTTATGGAATTGAATGGAAGCACGCTGAAAATATCTTCACCGGAAAGAAAATTGTTTATCTCTAAACTTCTTCTGAACAGGGGATTCTAAAAATTTTGAAGCATTGGAAATGGTTAGTTGCGTTAATGTTTAATAAAAAATCTTTCGACGATTTTTTTTTTTGAATTGAAAAAAACATACCAAATGATCCAATTTCTTAGTATTATTGACTATATGAATTTGCTATTATAAAAGAGAACCAATGGTGAATCCATGATAAGTGTTGAAAAAGAAAAAGAAAAGTAGAAAACAGGAATTTTATTCAATCATTTGTCCAACAATCAATACCTTTATTGTCATAGGACCAATTGGAATTCTACTAAACAATACGAAGGCGTTTATCACCAAACTAATGCACGGTAATGTATATATATAGAAAACAGCGAATTTATGTATGTTCATCAGTTGATCTATATGTAAATTATTTCAAATGACAAAATGACCGATAAACGCCATTTTAAGTGTAGCTTTTAAGTTACAACAATTATAATTTAGTCCCATTTTTAAACCTGCAGGCCAATGAACTTGTAATTAACTAGGAAAGCTTTGCCTTTTAATAGGTCAATTGATTAATTGTAGAAATAATAATAAAATGAATTAAATTTCAAAAAAAAAATTAATGGTTGCTGTTCTTTAAATCGAACAATGAAATATTCAATCTGAAAGTAATAATAAAATTTGGCCAAAAGAAGTTAATTGAAAAAGAAATTATGTAGTACCTGAAATTTATTAATTACTAATCGCATATTGAATCAAATGAATGAAAACTTAAAGATAAATCACATGCTTACGAAAATATTTATCTTGAAAAAGTAATTATCAAAAAGAATGAATCACAAAAAACAAATATCATTTGATTATTGCGGAATGTAATGATCTAACCTGACTAAAATTAATTTAATAAAAATATAAAAAAATGCTTCTTCAAAATAGTTTGGTCATATATATCTAAACCTTCTATATATATACATGTACTGTATATAGCTTATAGAAATCTATTATTTTATTTTTAATTTTAATTTATATTTATAAAAATAGATTTAAAAAGAATTAGAATTAATTATCAGTAAAAAAAAAATAATAATAATATAGTCTCTTAAATAGTTTTATAAGTAAATTTATTCTCTGATCGACACCATTTATACACATATTTATGCATTTTTAGTAAAAATTATTTTTAACTATTGATTAATAAATTATTTAATTAATATATAAAATTTGCTATTATTGAATTTTCATAATTGAATTTTAAGAGAATTTATTTTATAATTTTATCAATATTTCTTTTAGCTTTGCATTTAATATTTTTTATTTCAAATTATTAATTGTATCGCAAAGTGATATCCAATTTGAAATTAAAACCAAATATGAAATTATTTATTGATTTATTTCAATTTTTTCAACTACAGAGGGTCACCAAAAGTCTCCGAACACTTTTTGGGATAACATAAAACTCAAAATTTAAAGTTAAAACTGAGA